CCTCTAGTACACCAACAAACCCCTCTAGTACACCAACAAACCCTCTAGTACACCAACAAACCCCTCTAGTAAACCAACAAACCCCTCTAGTACACCAACAAACCCCTCTAGTACACCAACAAACCCCTCTAGTACACCAACAAACCCCTCTAGTACACCCACAAACCCCTCTAGTACACCAACAAACCCCTCTAGTACACCAACAAACCCCTCTAGTACACCAACAAACCCCTCTAGTAAACCAACAAACCTCTCTAGTAAACCAACAAACCCCTCTAGTACACCAACAAACCCCTCTAGTAAACCAACAAACCCCTCTAGTAAACCAACAAAACCCCTCTAGTAAACCAACAAACCTCTCTAGTAAACCAACAAACCCCTCTAGTACACCAACAAACCCCTCTAGTACACCAACAAACCTCTCTAGTAAACCAACAAACCTCTCTAGTAAACCAACAAACCCCTCTAGTACACCAACAAACCCCTCTAGTACACCAACAAACCCCTCTAGTACACCAACAAACCCCTCTAGTACACCAACAAACCCCTCTAGTACACCAACAAACCCCTCTAGTACACCAACAAACCCCTCTAGTACACCAACAAACCCCTCTAGTACACCAACAAACCCCTCTAGTACACCAACAAACCCCTCTAGTACACCAACAAACCCTCTAGTACACCAACAAACCCCTCTAGTAAACCAACAAACCCCTCTAGTACACCAACAAACCCCTCTAGTACACCAACAAACCCCTCTAGTAAACCAACAAACCCCTCTAGTAAACCAACAAACCCCTCTAGTAAACCAACAAACCCCTCTAGTACACCAACAAACCCCTCTAGTAAACCAACAAACCCCTCTAGTAAACCAACAAACCCCTCTAGTACACCAACAAACCCCTCTAGTAAACCAACAAACCCCTCTAGTAAACCAACAAACCCCTCTAGTACACCAACAAACCCCTCTAGTAAACCAACGAACCTCTCTAGTACACCAACAAACCCCTCTAGTACACCAACAAACCCCTCTAGTAAACCAACAAACCCCTCTAGTACACCAACAAACCCCTCTAGTAAACCAACAAACCCCTCTAGTACACCAACAAACCCCTCTAGTAAACCAACAAATCCCTCTGGTACACCCACAAACTGCAGTAGATGCTAAAGAAAACGCAACTGAAAGTGCTGCTCAAGCACAGGACTATTTTTAAGCACTCAGCATATTAAACTAATTTGTTTTTTTGGGCTGATCAAATCGGCTGACGTGGTTGACAATAAGCCAACCGCCTTTACTTCCAGGGACATAACCTGATACCCATTTTAGTCTGGGTCGATCTGGGAACAATGTCAGTTTTGAAGAAAATCATGTCGATGCGGTTTTCAACCCTACACTCTAGGAACACCAAGCTACCGCAGCAGTCTTGTGGTAACAATATGTTTAAAAACTATTCTGTCAGTTGTAATTTGAATGGCTAAATGTGTATTTGCTAAATGTAAACAGTAAAAGCAGATTCAAAATCTCCAGAATTTGGTTATAATATCATATTTATTCTGTTGACATGAAACATCTCATCTGCACTCCTAGCTCTATGCAGATGAAGGATGAGTGTACAGGAAAAAAAACCCAGATGAACTAACTCAGTTTAAAAGTTGATGGGTTTGCCAAAATATGCAGCTATGTTGGCTTCTCTGAATGCCTCAGACACAGTCTGAAAAATACAGACGATATTAGTTAGTACGAGATGCAATTTCTAGCAAACACAAGAGGAGACAGATGTGCAAAAAATTATAGCATATTTAAAACAATGTCAAATAGTAATGTGGTTTCTCTTGGCACCCCACTCCAAGACGTGGAGTCGTACACCTCTTTGGGCAGTAATGTAGATAAAGATGGAGGAACTGATAGAGATATTAAAATAAGAATACAAAAGGCAAGAGGGGCTTTCATAGCACTAGGGAATTTGTGGAGGTCAAAAGAAATTAAAAGAAATACTAAACTAAAAATTTTTAATTCTAATGTCAAATCAGTACTATTGTATGGGGCGGAAACATGGAGAACAACGAAGGCAATTACTAATAAATTACAGACATTCATTAACTGGTGCCTGCGCAGAATAGAGGGAATAAAATGGTATGATAGAATAACTAATGTAGAACTTTGGGAGAGAACTAAACAGGCTCCAGTGGATCAGGAGGTGAGGAAAAGACGCTGGCGTTGGATAGGGCACACACTGAGAAAACAGGAGAACAGCATAACTAGAATGTCTTTGCATTGGAACCCACAGGGGCATAGGAATAAAGGAAGGCCAAAAAACACATGGAGAAGAGAGCTGGAGAATGAGGTTAGAAAGATTGGGAGGACATGGGGAGAGCTCCATGTAATGGCGAAGGATAGAACGACTTGGCGTGAGTTGGTTGAGGGCCTATGCTCCATTGGGGGATAAAAAGGCAGAAGAAGAAGAAGAAAACAATGTTTCCCAACAGACCCTCCCCCTGTTATGCACCAGAGGAGATACAGGGAAACATGCCAGGCTTTATACTGATTGTGTCCTATCCAAAGATATTTTACCGACAGCATATTTAAAACCTTGTCCTTGTACAGTTCTCAAAGACCCACATATTTTCCCATCTCCATTTACTTTCCTGTCTGTGTACAGTTCTCAAAGACCCACATATTTTCCCATCTCCATTAACATTCCTGTCTGTGTACAGTTCTCAAAGACCCACATATTTTCCCATCTCCATTTACTTTCCTGTCTGTGTACAGTTCTCAAAGACCCACATATTTTCCCATGTCCATTAACATTCCTGTCTGTGTACAGCTCTCAAAAACCCACATATTTTCCTATCTCCATTTACTTTCCTGTCTGTGTACAGTTCTCAAAAACCCACATATTTTCCCATCTCCATTAACATTCCTGTCTGTGTACAGTTCTCAAAAACCCACATATTTTCCCATGTCCATTTACTTTCCTGTCTGTGTACAGTTCTCAAAGACCCACATATTTTCCTATCTCCATTTACTTTCCTGTCTGTGTACAGTTCTCAAAGACCCACATATTTTCCTATCTCCATTTACTTTCCTGTCTGTGTACAGTTCTCAAAGACCCACATATTTTCCTATCTCCATTTACTTTCCTGTCTGTGTACAGTTCTCAAAGACCCACATATTTTCCTATCTCCATTTACTTTCCTGTCTGTGTACAGTTCTCAAAGACCCACATATTTTCCTATCTCCATTTACTTTCCTGTCTGTGTACAGTTCTCAAAGACCCACATATTTTCCTATCTCCATTTACTTTCCTGTCTGTGTACAGTTCTCAAAGACCCACATATTTTCCTATCTCCATTTACTTTCCTGTCTGTGTACAGTTCTCAAAGACCCACATATTTTCCCATGTCCATTTACTTTCCTGTCTGTGTACAGGTCTCAAAGACCCACATATTTTTCCATCTCCATTTACTTTCCTGTCTGTGTACAGTTCTCAAAGACCCACATATTTTCCTATCTCCATTTACTTTCCTGTCTGTGTACAGTTCTCAAAGACCCACATATTTTCCCGAGTCCATTAACATTCCTGTCTGTGTACAGTTCTCAAAGACCCACATATTTTCCCGAGTCCATTTACTTTCCTGTCTGTGTACAGTTCTCAAAGACCCACATATTTTCCCGAGTCCATTAACATTCCTGTCTGTGTACAGTTCTCAAAGACCCACATATTTTCCCATCTCCATTTACTTTCCTGTCTGTGTACAGCTCTCAAAGACCCACATATTTTCCCATCTCCATTTACATTCTTGTCTGTGTACAGTTCTCAAAGACCCACATATTTTCCCATCTCCATTTACTTTCCTGTCTGTGTACAGTTCTCAAAGACCCACATATTTTCCCATCTCCATTAACATTCCTGTCTGTGTACAGTTCTCAAAGACCCACATATTTTCCCATCTCCATTTACTTTCCTGTCTGTGTACAGCTCTTAAAGACCCACATATTTTCCCATCTCCATTTACTTTCCTGTCTGTGTACAGTTCTCAAAGACCCACATATTATCCCATCTGCATTTATAACAGTGGTTCTCAGACTTCCTAATCACCCAACCTTTGATACAGTTCCTCATGCTGTGGTGATCCCCCCAACCATAAGATTATTTTTGTTTCAGCTTTATAACTTCAGTGAATGTTTTTTTTTTTTTGATGGCCTTAAGCGAACCCTGTGAAAGTGTAATTTGACCCCCAAAGGAGTCACAACCCACAAGTTGAGAACCGCTGATTTATAATGCCTATACCTGTACATAATTCTGCAGGGTGTGTGCTTTCTTGTTTCCAGTTTACTTTAGAGCTGCCTTCAAAGTTCGCACCTCTGTGATCATGCCCACTACCATAGGCATTCTGAGGCAGATCCTCTGTGACTGTCAAAACTGACCCTAGTTCAATGAATGGCATCAACAGTGTGAGCGATCATTAGTTGTTAAAGAGCCAACAGTGCTGCGACTCTCACTGTCACAACTGACCCTAGTTCAACGACTCACATCAATAGTGTGAGCGATCATTAGTTGTTAAAGATCAAACAGTGCTGCGACTCTCACTGTCACAACTGACCCTAGTTCAACGACTCACAACAGTGTGAGCGATCATTAGTTGTTAAAGAGCCAACAGTGTTGCGACTCTCACTGTCACAACTGACCCTAGTTCAACGACTCACATCAACAGTGTGAGCGATCATTAGTTGTTAAAGAGCCAACAGTGCTGCGACTCTCACTGTCACAACTGACCCTAGTTCAACGACTCACATCAATAGTGTGAGGGATCATTAGTTGTTAAAGAGCCAACAGTGCTGCGACTCTCACTCTCAGACCCAGTGCCATGTAGTTATTCATGCAATTGTTGAACAGCTGTGGTACTGTATATGGAAGGTTCCATTTATCCAGCTGTGATGGAAATCACATATTGATGACGGCTGTAAGAAGTGAACACTCAGTAGAGGACAAACTTACCGGGTGAGCATGGCAAACTCGAGCAATATCTTCACAAGAGGCTCCATATTCCATGGCAAGGGCAGCCTCGTTAATCAGTTCACCAGCACACTAAAACACCAATGTCACAAGGTAAACAGTGGCATGAAACATTAAAACACCAATGTCACAAGGTAAACAGTGGCATGAAACATTAAAACACCAATGTCACAAGGTAAACAGTGACATGAAACATTAAAACACCAATGTCACAAGGTAAACAGTGACATGAAACATTAAAACACCAATGTCACAAGGTAAACAGTGGCATATGAAACACAAACACTACTGTCACAAGGTAAACAGTAGCATATGAAACACTAAAACACCAATTTCACAAGGTAAACAGTGGCATGAAACATTAAAACACCAATGTCACAAGGTAAACAGTGGCATATGAAACACTAAAACACCAATGTCACAAGGTAAACAGTGGCATATGAAACACTAAAACACCAATGTCACAAGGTAAACAGTGGCATGAAACATTAAAACACCAATGTCACAAGGTAAACAGTGGCATGAAACATTAAAACACCAATGTCACAAGGTAAACAGTGGCATGAAACATTAAAACACCAATGTCACAAGGTAAACAGTGGCATGAAACATTAAAACAACAATGTCACAAAATAAAAAGTGGCATGAAAAATTAAAACACTAATGTCACAAAATAAACAGTGGCATGAAACACTAAAACACCAATGTCACAAGGTAAACAGTGGCATGAAACATTAAAACACCAATGTCACAAGGTAAACAGTGGCATGAAACACTAAAACACTAATGTCACAAAATAAACAGTGTCACTTAAAACACCAATGTCACAAGGTAAACAGTGTCATATGAAACATTAAAACACCATGTGTCTGTTTCTATTACTGGCTGGCTGAATGGTTAAGCAAATACATAATGTTTGACAATTCTCATTTTCCATGTCTTTCTTTCTAGGAGTGGCTGGCTGAATTGTTACGTTTACGTAATGTCTGACAATTTACATGTTTCATGTGTTTGTTTCCAAGACTAGCTGACTGAATTGTTAAGTTTACGTAATGTCTGACAATTTACATGTTTCATGTGTTTGTTTCTAAGACTGGCTGGCTGAGTTGTTAAGTTTACGTAATGTCTGACAATTTACATGTTTCATGTGTTTGTTTCCAAGACTAGCTGACTGGATTGTTGAGTTTACGTAATGTCTGACAATTTACATGTTTCATGTGTTTGTTTCTAAGACTGGCTGGCTGAGTTGTTGAGTATGTCTGACAATTTACATGTTTCATGTGTTTGTTTCTAAGACTGGCTGGCTGAGTTGTTGAGTATGTAAAACAATTTACATGTTCATGTGTTTGTTTCTAAGACTGGCTGGCTGAGTTGTTGAGTATGTCTGACTGACAATTTACATGTTTCATGTGTTTGTTTCTAAGACTAGCTGACATGATTGTTGAGTTTACGTAATGTCTGACAATTTACATGTTTCATGTGTTTGTTTCTAAGACTAGCTGACTGGATTGTTGAGTTTACGTAATGTCTGACAATTTACATGTTTCATGTGTTTGTTTCCAAGACTAGCTGACTGGATTGTTGAGTTTACGTAATGTCTGACAATTTACATGTTTCATGTGTTTGTTTCTAAGACTGGCTCGCTGAGTTGTTGAGTATGTCTGACAATTTACTTGTTTCATGTGTTTGTTTCTAAGACTGGCTGGCTGAGTTGTTGAGTATGTCTGACAATTTACATGTTTCATGTGTTTGTTTCTAAGACTGGCTGGCTGAGTTGTTGAGTATGTCTGACAATTTACATGTTTCATGTGTTTGTTTCTAAGACTAGCTGACTGGATTGTTGAGTTTACGTAATGTCTGACAATTTACATGTTTCATGTGTTTGTTTCTAAGACTAGCTGACTGGATTGTTGAGTTTACGTAATGTCTGACAATTTACATGTTTCATGTGTTTGTTTCCAAGACTAGCTGACTGGATTGTTGAGTTTACGTAATGTCTGACAATTTACATGTTTCATGTGTTTGTTTCTAAGACTGGCTCGATGAGTTGTTGAGTATGTCTGACAATTTACTTGTTTCATGTGTTTGTTTCTAAGACTGGCTGGCTGAGTTGTTGAGTATGTCTGACAATTTACATGTTTCATGTGTTTGTTTCTAAGACTGGCTGGCTGAGTTGTTGAGTTTACGTAATGTCTGATAATTTACATGTTTCATGTGTTTGTTTCTAAGACTGACTGGCTGAATTGTTGAGTTTACGTAATGTCTGATAATCCTCATGTTTCATGTGTTTGTTTCTAAGAGTGGCTGGCTGAATGGTTAAGTTTAGGTAATATTTGACAATTCTCATGTTTCTGGTTAAATGTTAAGGTTCTAGATTGATTCTGTGCAGGACAAAAGTAAAATTCTAATCTGCACAGTCTGCAGCAACTGCACTAGCCATATGGCCCTAAATCCTCAGGCTGAAAACCCTCACAAATGGTCAACATAGGCAGCTGTAGCAGTATTTGCAGTTTATCTTTAGATGTCAGAAGTTTTGCATGTTGCTTATATATATATATATAATTTTTTTTTTAGCTATCGCTATTCCATTTCTAACTTCCAAAGGCTATATATGAACATAAAGCTCCACAAATGTACCATGAGAAACTTACAGAGGCAACAATGTGTGCTCCCAGCAATCGATCTGTCTTCTTGTCTGCCAAGACTTTGATCAGGCCGTCTGTGTCATTATTGCATTTGGCACGGCTGTTTGCAGCCAGTGGAAAGGAGCCTTTCTTGTATTCAATGCCCTGGAGAGAATAGAAGAACAAGGCATTTATGAGATGAGACCATACACTAAAATATACAGACTAATACTTTATAATGACATGTTTCAGTAGAAGTAAACAAACTTCCCACACATCAGCTGACAAGTGGCACATATCAACAAAGGCAGACACAAAATCAGACAAAGGCAATTCTGTAGGCAAATTAATCTTTTTCATCTTCTGTGTTTATCCAAAGATGTAAATGTGTTGTGCCCATTTACAGCACAGCAGAGATATGTTCGACTTTTGGCCGACACATCTGATGGCCTTTGATGTCTGGGTTAGCCTTCCTGGTTAGTTTCGTGGGACATTACAGTCTCAGTGTTGTGTGGTCATCTTTGTTTCCTAGGTGACAGATGGTGCCCCACATTAGGCTGGTCAGCCCTTAAACAAAAGGCAGGGGCAGACCATGAGCATTCCCCACCATCCAAGAAGTCTTCCATAAATGCAGAGCCAATACATGGTGCTCTGGTAGTAGGCTTCCCCAAGGAATCATCAGGTCCTGCTCATGACTGTTTAACCTCACTTCCGTCAACAAATAATAAAAGTAGTCCCACAAAAGGCTGTCAAAAACCTGGCGACCAAAATGCTGAAAATGGGTATCACCATGCCTGGAAAAACCCATTAATACAATAGAACTGGCAATGATTCACAGCCTAGGGAGCTGCCAGTTGCATAGATCTGTTCTAGGGCACGACATATGAAGCAGGCTGGTCAGTTTCCTTGCCTCCCAAAACATTCTCAACACTGTCTGCTATCAATGTTTATGAAGTTAGGTCAACCACAGAACCATATTAGCTGAAAAACAAATCCTACCACTTCTGATCGAACCTTGACCTATGCAGAAAGGGAGAAGGCTGTTCTGGCCCACACCTGCTCCACTTGAGGACAAATTCTATGGGGTTGAGATCCCCATCAGAGGATGAAGATCAGCATTATGTGTCTGCTCTGAACTGGTGCTGGGCGGCACCGCCTGTGGACTGGGAAGCAAGGGTAATGACACAACAACCAGGCTGTGCAATGTCCCAAGAAATTAAACCCACAAAATAGCATTTATATGATATCAATCTCTTGTGTGGATGTTGAAGGCAGGGGATTCGCCAAGCACAAATGTATGTTAGAAGTGTCCAGGTGGTTGGTTAGAATGCCAGGTTCTCATGCGGGCAACATGGATTCAAATCCTTGGTAAGTATAAGCTGACATGGAAGCCAATTTTGAGAGAATAAAAAAAAAAAAAAAATTCTTCCTGGATACAGATCTGATGACCAGCAAGGAAGTACCTCACCCACAACACACACTGCAACACATGTCACCACAACACACACTGTAACACATGTCACCACAACACACACTGCAACACACGTCACTGATACCTCTTCTTTGAGAGCTTCCTCAGACTTGCCGATCCAGGCCACCTCGGGGTGTGTGTAGATGACAGAGGGAACACAGTTGTAGTCAATATGTACAGCTCCTCCACAGATGCCCTCCACACAGATGATACCTGATGACGTAAAGGTTGGTTAGTTGGAACACAATGTACATTACATATCACAGTTGTAGTTGATAGGTACAGCTCCCCCACATACAATACCTGCCAACGTCAAGGTGATTTAGTTGGAACACAAAGTACATCACAGTGAGAGTTCTAGAGCTCCCTTTTTGGAGGGGAAAGGGGGATTATCATCAACATGTAGCCGGTCCTTTGCAGAATGTCGCTCTCATCACAGTCTGCCTGAAAGACACTCGGTTCCCTCACCAGCTTCATGTACTTTTATATTCAAGGAATCACTTACATATTGTGCCCATCTTCATGTTGGTCGGCCCCTGCCCCTCCTTCCTGATACCATGCCTTTTACTATTATTCTTTCCAATCTGCAACGGCTCTTGATAAGAGCAAAATATTTCAGCTTCTGAGACAAGATGCTATTTATTAGCCAATCTTCCTTGATGTTTAGATCTGTTAAAATTTCAGTATTTCTTCTCTTCTTTGCCCATGGTATTCTGAGAATCTTTCTATAGCATTTCAATTCAAAAGCCCCTATTTTCTTTCTTTAGGGACTGGGACATATTCCACGACTCACATCCATTTGTTGCTACAGGAAAGATGCAAAATTGTAATTGTGATTTTCTTGCTGGGGCTTAACGACAGACTTTTAATCTTTGTATTGCTGTGGCCATCCTCCTTTTGATCTCTGTCCAACAGTAATTCAAAGTTGGAAAAAAAAAAAGGGGGGGGGGGGGGATGCTGCCTGAAAATAATCACTGGCGTGTCTCCCCCCCCCCTTTTTTTGAGGTAATAAAATGCAACTAATTAAGAGTTTGTTGAAATCTGATTTGTTGGGCTGAAATGAACAGATATATCACATTCTAGCTTTAAACCACACCATGATTAGTCAGACATGTCCAGATACTCAATCAACTCTGACAACACAACTGTAATTCAATGACATGACTCCAGATGCCTCACCTTCATCTTCAGCCTTGTGTGCCAACATGGGGCCCTGGACGCAGTCTCCAATAGCGTAGATGCTGCAAGTAACAGACACTCATGAGAACATCAATGCAGCAACAATCATCCCATTGTAATACTGCCGCAGGAGGTGTCAGTGTTTAAGATTAAACAAAAACACTAGAAGAAAGCTTTATGAGGTTGGTGACTACTTCCCTTCCTCGCCAGTACCGTGTCCAGATAACTGACTATAAGGTTGGGTTAAGCCCAGAGTTGACTGCACTGGACACAAATTCTGTCCCAAAGGCACGGGGCACTGAGTCAATATTTCAAAAAGCAACAGTTTTCCCTCAAGAGTAGCAAAGTCAATACAAATAACACAAAAATAATTATATAAAACAATTGATTAAACCCATAAAAAACAAAGACCCCAAAACTCATATGATTTCATTCAAGACATTTTAGCTATAAAATGGACAATATTATTTTGTTGTACAAAAACTGTTGTGTTCTTCTTCTTCGCATTCACCAGCTGTAAACTCTAGCGGAAAGTTCTGGTTGTTCATCCACTTCTGGACTGCAGTCCTGTTCCAGAACTCAAGTGTTGCATGTGCATCCATTTGACAGATCTGACTAATTTGTATGCAGACTGTTGGTTACTTGCCTCTCAGGCAGATGCACTCTGACTTTGAAGGAAGCTCCCAATTAGTCGACTCTTACGACAACATGCTTTTGGGTAGGCAGTTGTGGTATGTCAGCCATTCCTGGCCAGACTATGTCAGTTTTTCTAGCCAAATTCAGCAAAACTGACTTCAGAGATGTAGGACACAGCAATGTCTGTGTCTCCTCTCCAATTAATCGTGGGATCAAACATGATAAATGACTTCCCGTATATTACAATGAAAGTATTGCTGCAGATTACTGTGAAGGAATAAGACAAAATCAAATGTATGTCTTTGAGAAGCAGGGAATAGAAAGAGCTAATTAGAAGAAACAACACAAAGAGAAAATATTATGTCTAGATTAACAGACATGAAAGCACTGACACGTTTAAGAGACACACTGGAGGAAAAGTGAAGGACAGGCCAGCACAGACAGTGATATCAGTGAGAGGATAACATTTAGAGGGATCTCTCTTTCTCCCTCTCTCTCACATGCACAGACACATACCTAGGCACTGACGTCTGAAAGCGAGAGTTGATCGGAATTCTGCCCTGTTTGTCGAGCTGAATGCCAACTGTGTCCAAGCCAACATCTTTAGTGAAAGGTCGTCGCCCGATACAAACCAGCAAGGTGTCACACTCAATCTGTACACATAAGATTTAACTGTACAAGGTATCACATTCAATCTGTACAGAGTTTAACAAGATTTAACTGTATAAGGTGTCACACTCTCAATCTGTGCAGTTGAACAAACAGGATTTCACTCAAAAAGTTGTCACTCTCAATCTGTACACAGCTGAACACACAAGATTTAACTCTACAAGGTGTCATTCTCAATCTGTACACAGCTGAACATACAAGATTTAACTCTACAAGGTGTCACTCTCAATCTGTGCAAAGTTGAACACACAAGATTTAACTCAAAAAGTTGTCACTCTCAATCTGTACACAGCTGAACATACAAGACTTAACTGTACAAGGTGTCACTCTCAATCAGTACACAGTTAAACACACAAAATATAACTCTACAAGGTGTCACTCTCAATCTGTATATAGTTGAACACACAAGATTTAACTGTACAAGGTGTCACTCTCAATCAGTTAACAGTTGAACACACAAAATATAACTCTACAAGGTGCCACTCTCAATCTGTATATAGTTGAACACACAAGATTTAACTGTACAAGGTGTCACTCTCAATCTATACAGTTCAACGAAAGAGCTTTAACAGTACAATGGATAATATTCAACCTGAACACAATTGAATTAACAAGTTCTAACTGTACAAGTTGCCACTCTTAATCTGTACACAGTTGAACACATGAGTTTTAATGCTTTTTAACAAGCATATCATAAATGGTGACTCATTAAGTTTGAAGTTTGAACAATGGATCAACATCATGGCACAAGTGTAGTAACCCTTACGTGCTCCGTTCTTCTTTTAACTCAAGTCTGAGTCTGAAGAAGCTCAGCACAGTGCACAGGCTCTGTAGCACCGGCAAGAATCTTGAAATACTTTGGGTAGATTTTTCAACTCAAAATTTTGCCTGGGCAGCACCGTTAGGCTACTCTTTTAAATTTCCGACTGCCAAGGGATTTTTTTACATGCGCAAAAATGCACACGGGCGTCCGATCTCACTACCCAGAGACCAGGGGGAATTACTAGAAATCCTAGTCCACGAGAAAAAATCCCAGTCCTTACAGCGGATTGAACCTGGAACCCCTAGCACTCGAGGACACCAAGCCTCGAAACCACTTGGCCCCCTAAGGTGACTCATTAAAGATTTTATAATACTGGATATGATGGGCAGAAATGCACAGATATCCCAGCCTAGCTGTAAACCACAACACAACATGCCAAAAGCTCTATCTAGATGTTAAGAATTGATCAGCCAAACATTATATTACCTCTTCCTTCTTGCCATCTTTGGCCCCTTCAACACTGACAGTCACCTTGTCCCCCGACCTGGTGGCTCCGGTGACCTTGGTGTTCAACTTGAACTTCAGGCCCTGTTTGGCCAGAGACCTCTGGATACTGGTGGAGATTTCCATGTCAATGCCGAGACCTCCAATGTGACCCAGAAACTCCACGCAGGTCACCTGTGCTCCAAGCCGTAGCCACACCGAGCCCTGGCCCAGGAGAGAAGAGATTATATGTGCTTTGTTAGAATACAAGTTAGCAAATGTCTGCCTACCTGCCCGCTGTCATATGTCTCAGCAATAAGCTGCTGCCACTCGATGATGTCATGGATTATGAACAAGCAGTTAATTAAGGTAAAAGAAATAAAGACTTACAGAAAAACTGGAAAGGGTATCAAAGACAGCTAATCACTGTTTCTTTATCATACAATCTCTGTCCAGAAATGGTATATGATTCAAAGGCATTATGTCACCCGAGCAAGTTATTAAATTTAACAGAAGGCATTCTGGTGTATGTTCTGCATATCCCACAGTGTCCCTATGAAAATGATAAAACTGAGTAGGCATGAGAGGGAGAATAAGAAACTGGGAAAGAGTATCAGAACCTGGAACAAGGTCAACCTGGACAAGTTCTAGATGCTAGAGGGACTGCAACCACAGACTGGACAGGGACTGATGAATGTCTGTATGTTGTAGACTGGACAGGGACTGATGGTCTGTCTGTATGTTGTAGACTGGGCAGGGATTGATGGTTGTCTGTATGTTGTAGACTGGGCAGGGATTGATGGTTGTCTGTATGTTGTAGACTGAACAAGGACTGATGGTTGTATGTTGTAGACTGGGCAGGGACTGATGGTTGTCTGTATGTTGTAGACTGGGCAGGGACTGATGGTTGTCTGTATGTTGTAGACTGGGCAGGAACTGATGGTTGTCTGTATGTTGTAGACTGGACAGGGACTGATGGTTGTCTGTATGTTGTAGACTGGGCAGGGACTGATGGTTGTCTGTATGTTGTAGACTGGACAGGGACTGATGTATGTTGTAGACTGTATGTTGTAGACTGTAGACTGGACAGGGACTGATGGTTGTCTGTATGTTGTAGACTGGACAGGGACTGATGGTTGTTTGTATGTTGTAGACTGGACAGGGACTGATGGTTGTCTGTATGTTGTAGACTGGACAGGGACTGATGTCTGTATGTTGTAGACTGGGCAGGGACTGATGTCTGTATGTTGTAGACTGGACAGGGACTGATGTCTGTATGTTGTAGACTGGGCAGGAACTGATGGTTGTCTGTATGTTGTAGACTGGACAAAGACTGAAAGTTGCCTGAATGTTGTAGACTGGACAGAGACTGAAGGCTGTCTGTATGTTGTAGACTGGACAGGGACAGATGGTCTGTCTGTATGTTGTAGACTGGGCAGGGACTGATGGTAGGTCTGTCTGTATGCTATGACAGGTGTGATAGAAAAGAGATATATATATACAGTGCAACCTTTGGACACAAATTTAATACATTCCATGACTAAGCTCGAATGATAAATAACCCGTATCCTGAAACTATTTCTCCCATTAAAATTAATGTAAATAATTGTGATCCATTCCAGCCTTCCAAAAATGAAAAACAAAATTATGTTTTTACTTTCAGAATCAGGGAAAATGTGTGGCAGTGCTTTTCTGTTTTTGCTAGCACAGAAAAACAGGGTTACTACCAACCATGATGTTAGTCAATCATTATCAAGTGCAGTGTCAACTGGCTCAAGTCCTCCTTCAGCAAACGCTAATGTGACCTAATCCAGTTAAAAGTTATCAAGATGTTGTCAGGTAACACTGAGAATTCTCATCTTTCCAGCTTGCCCACTAGATATCATCTCATATTCTGGGACCCACAAAAAAAAAACACAAACTGGCTAGCCTGACCTCGTATCTTGATATTCCCCCGTATATCCAAATTGCTGGATGACAGAAGCCAGGCATCTGGGACCTCTTTTTAGACATGCATGCTCCCACACCTGTGCCAATAATCTGACATTTATTGATACTGTCAGTCTCCTGTAATGCCAGTTAGTTTCAAGTCCCAGAGAGTCAACCATGCACATCAAAAGTCTATTTTTACAACCACGTCACGACCAGTGGTCGTCACAATAAAAGGAAGTCTATGACATATTTTAACAGCCATAACAGTTTGACAATCTTCAAAGAAAATTAAGGGTCATACCAATTCGACTCCAATGACACCAGCACCAATCAAAACCAAGTGTTGAGGAACATGATCCAATGAGAGCGCACCAGTGGATGACACAATTGTTTTCTCATCCACCTGAAGAAAGGAGAATAAAAGAACTCAATGGCTGCACAAGATGTTTGTTGTCCACATCAAAAAAGTACTTTTTTCTTTTTTCTTGTGCACCCCCCCCCCCAAAAAAAAAAAACACACACACAATGCTGGAGTGAATATCTGAGAAATCATTCACATTTAGGTTTTAGAAAAAGGCGACCATCAGTCTCTTCCTCTCTGTAGTCATCTGGTCAATGTAAAATCTGATCTCATCAGTATCTGCCTACCCTTCTCAGAGTGGATGATTTTTCTGATCCGCATCTGAGCGTGCACAACTACTGTATTTGTCAACGAACTATCAGTACTATATCCCCCCCCCCCACCTCCCCTCCCCAGTCTATGTCCTCTACCACATGGCTAGCTACCCCAGCACAACACTACTATTCCCTCCCCCCCCCCCTTCTACCACATAGCTAGCTACCCCAGCACAACACTACTATTCCCTCCCCCCCTTCTACCACATAGCTAGCTACCCCAGCACAACCCCCCCCCTCTCAGTCTTTATCCTCTAAAACATAGCTAGCTACCCCAGCACAAACCCCCCCCCCCTCTCAGTCTTTATCCTCTAAAACATAGCTAGCTACCCCAGCACAACCCCCCCCCCCCCCTCTCAGTCTTTATCCTCTAAAACATAGCTAGCTACCCCAGCACAACCCCCCCCCCCCCCAGTCTGTCCTCTACCACATAGCTAGCTATCCCAGCACAACACTACTATTCCCCCCCCCCCCCCCCCCTCTCAGTCTATGTCCTCTACCACATAGCCAGCTACCCCAGCACAACACCACTATTCACCCCCTTTCTGCTTTCTGGTACTAGAAAAGGTGAAATCATCATCAGAACGCCACCACACCTGTATACAATGAGACGGTTACTGAAACATATACTTGCCTCAATGCCAGGAAAGGGAGTGACCTCTGACCCCACAGCCAGGAGGATGTTTTTAGTGGTCAGCTTTTCTTGAGTTCCATCTTCCTTGGTGACCGTGACCTCGTTTGGTCCCGAAACTCTTCCGTAACCCTTGACATGAGTGATCTGTCTCAAAAACATTCCATCAGGTAAAGCATTAGAGAGAGAGTGTGACATCTGGAGGTATGAAACAGCCACAGATATGAGAAATGGCACTTTAACTACACTACTTTTTCTTCTTTGACCTTAAAAGCAGCTGTCATGCTGTGTTGTGAGTTTACAGCTAGGCTGTGATATCTGTGCCTACACATTCAATTTCAGAAAACCCTCAACTAGCTGCCTTTCACAACATGCTTGTTAAGAGGTAGTAGGTCTGTTCTCCCATAACATCCTCTCCACAAAGGGATTATGGTCAGATTTACAACAAACTGATATCTATCTTAACAAGTGTTCCCTCTGCTCTCATAACATCCTCTCCTCTTTGTTTCTAGGCCCATATCTAGAGTGTGCCCCCTCCCAAATCTCATTTGAGATGGTTAAACTGTCTTCATGCTAGTCACCTCTGACCTATCATCTGACAGTACCCAGACATGTGTTGTCTCTAAGCAGAACCAGACTGGCTGACTGACCTTTGCTTCTTCTAGCACACAGTACACATACTTTCTCCCAAGGGTTTAGTGCATGAGAAACACCCGTTCTTTGTTTGAAATGTAGCTTACCATGACGTCGTTTTAATTCCATTTTGTTTGTGTTAAATGTAGCTTACTATGACGTTGTTTTAATTCCATTTTGTTTGTGTTAAATGTAGCTTACTATGACGTTGTTTTAATTCCATTTTGTTTGTGTTAAATGTAGCTTACTATGACGTTGTTTTAATTCCATTTTGTTTGTGTTAAATGTAGCTTACTATGACGTTGTTTTAATTCCATTTTGTTTGTGTTAAATGTAGCTTACCATGACGTCGTTTTAATTCCATTTTGTTTGTGTTAAATGTAGCTTACCATGACGTTGTTTTAATTCCATTTTGTCTGTGTTAAATGTAGTTTTCCAAGACACCATTTTAATTCTCTTCTGTTAGTGTTAAATATAGCTTTCTAGGCTGTGTTAAATGTAGTTTTCTAGGATGTGTTAAATGAAGCTTTCTAGCTTTCTAGGATGACTTAAATGTAGCTTTCTAGGATGTGTTAAATAAAGCTTTCTAGGATATCTTAAATGTAGCTTTCTAGGACATCTTAAATGCAGCTTTCTATGATGTTTTTTTTTTCTTCTTCTGCGTTCGATATCAGTCAAGCTAAACATTGAGTCCCATCTGGGTCACAAATAGGATTGTGCGTTTAAGGTCGCCACCGGTCCCCCATAGCTTCTCTTGCAATGTGGCTCCTTTGGGCCAGATCCACAGTCTTTGCTGGGAGAGGTTAGGGCAGTACTGCAGTATGTGCCCAGGGGTTTGTCTTTCTGCTCCACAATCACAGGCAGCAGATTCTTGTATGCCTATCCTGAACAAGTGTGCTCGAAGACCACAGTGTCCAGTCTGAAGTCTAAAAATTGATGTTTGTTCTTTCCTGTTGAGTTTGTTTATGCTGTCACTCTCTGGTCTGTAATCACCATTCTGCCTTCTCCACTCCCGCTTTAAAGACTGCTTTAGCGCTGTTTTGGTTTCCTTGTAGCTGTGTGGTGGATGAGGTTGTGGAAGATTACTCCCAGCTTTTGCCAACTCATCTGCTCTCTCATTTCCTTGAATACCACAGTGAGCTGGTATCCACTGCAAAACCAGTTCTGCTTCCTTGGAGAGTAAGCCAATGTTGGTCCTTAGATCAGCAATTAGTTTGTCTTGTTTTTTGCTGGATAGTGCTTGGTGAACAGACAATGAGTCACTAAGTATAACAATTTGGTGCCCTCTGTGTTCTTGAGTGATGAGATGTTGGACTGCAGAGAGGAGGGCAGTTGCCTCAGCTCTGAAGTTAGTGCAGATGTCACCTGCTGGTAGAGAGAGAGTTTCTGCTCTACTGCAAGGGGGTTTAATGTAAATTCCACAACCACCCTTTCTGACTGCATCTGTAGCAGAGCCGTCGGTGAAAACCTGAGTCCAAGTGGTGTTTGGATACTTCTCATCAAGCATAGCAAGAGCCAGGGTTCTCTGTTGTGTCTCCGTCTGGGCATCTTTTGAAGTGATTCCTGGTACCTTTAGGACTACAATTGCTTTCTCTGGCTTGCTTGTCCATGGTTCTGGCCTAAGTTTTTCGCACAGTGCAACATCTCTTTCAAGCAGATCTTGGTGCTGTCTGTACAGTTCTCTAGCAAGGTGGTTGGGGCTCTGACGCTTTAGTCTGTTTTTTGTTCTCTCTTGAAATTTAAAATGCAGTGGGTGACTTTGAAGTCTTTTTAATTTCTCATACTGTAAAAGAGTTTTGTATTGTCTTCTGAGTTCGAGTGGTTCAGTATCTGCTATCTTTTCTATTTCTCTGATGGGGGTGGTTTTCATGGCTCCGAGAACAATCCTTAATCCCATATTCTGAACCTTGTCCAGTTTTCCCATTGTTGTCTTGGCTGCTGCAGCCTATGCAGTGGAGGCATATTCCACGACTGGCCTGACTGCTCCAGTATATACTTGTTTTAGGATTCTAGAGTTAGCGCCCCATGTGGTACCCGCTAATTTTTTCATAACTGTAAGCTTCTTGAATGCTTTTCCCTGTACTGCTTCTACATGTGACTTCCAAGTTAGTCGCGAATCAAGTGTAACGCCCAGAAAGGTAGGAATGTCAGTCTGTGGTATGAGCTGGTTTTTAATCCAAATTTCAATTTTTTCTTTTTTTTGGGGAGAGAGAGAAAAGTGATGCTGTGCTTTTGGATTTATTTAGCTTTAGAGCCCACTTTTCGGTCCAGGCTTCCACATTTTCCACAGTTTTTTGTAACAGATTCTATGATGTTAAATGTAGCATTCTAGGATATGTTAAATGTAGCTTTCTAGGAGTTTAAATCTAGCTTTCTATGATGTCAAAATGTAGCTTTCTAGGATGTCTTGAATGTAGCTTTCTATGATGTGTTAAATATAGCTTTCTATGATGTTTTAAATGAAGCTTTCTAGAATGTGGTAAATGTAGCTTTCTAGGGTGTGTTAAATGTAGTTTTCTAGGATGTGTTAAATGTAGCTTTTTAGGTATGTTAAATGTAGCTTTTTAAGATGTCTTGAATGTAGCTTTCTAAAATGTTTCAAATGTAGCTCTCTAAGACGTTTTAATTCCCTTTTGTGTTTGTTTGTGTTAAATGTAGCTTTTTAAGATGTCTTAAGTGTAGCATTCTGAGATGTCTTAAATGTAGCTTTCAAGGACATAACTGAAGTTTCCTAAAAAAAACCAACAACTTTGTAGCTGCATTCTTATCTTGTAGATTGGACACTTCTGCTTTATATATATATGTGTGTTTATTTATTCTATATATATTATATATGTGTGTGTGTGTGTTAAATGTTTAAGACATGCATTCAACAACTGGGTAACACACAGTTTACCATGATATCACATTTATTCTACATTATTTTTCCTGAGCAATTCCTCCTGTCAAGGCTTTGACTGCTCCACTTTTCTGATCCATCATTTTCCCCAAGTTCAACGTGACATCTGTAACTAAATACAGGATATTCAAATGTCAGTACAGGAGACACTTTCATGAACATACGCAAAGGACAGCACTATTTTCCTTCATCCACATCATAATGTGCCCTGCAATATGAATAGGAAAGGAGGCAGCGAATGTTTTGACAGTGTTCTTGTCCTCCTCCTCTCTGACAAACTTTCCTTCAAAACTTCTTGCTGTGAAACAATGCAACTCCATAAGCTCTTGGGTGGTCAGCTCTTGGCTGTGCTTTTCCACAAGCTCTTCGATATCACTGTTATCCACCTACAATCCCAGTGACCAAAGACACAATCTCGTTGACTACAGGTTACACAGGCACTGTTTCAAACCCCTTAAAGTCACAAATCGACAACGCTCTCCGGCCAAAGCTTCTTCCAAGCAGAAGTTGGGGTTTTCTTGGTAACATCTTTTCCCGCCTTGTCGATCATCTTGAGGCAGGCAATGATGTGGAAGTGATTTTTCCAAAATTCTTTGAGCGTGAGGTTGGTCCCTTCAGTCACATGAAAACAAGGCTCGAAGATTGCTTTAGTGTAGAGCTTCTTAAAGTTAGAAATAACTTGCTCGTCCATGGGCTGGAGTAACGGAGTGATGTTAGGAGGCAGAAACTGGATCTTGATGGACTTAAATTCTTCAGGGAGGTCATCTTGTAGGCCTAGAGGATTCATGTACATAAATCACAATATAACATAAGTTTGATAAAATGTGTGATCACAAGCGACACTACGATGCTACTGGAACGAGTGCTAAACACTGATGTATCATGTGTACAATCTGGGACTTCCCCTCTTCTCGCCACTCGTTATGCGAAATGTCGCTCGTTAAGCAAATTACTCATTATGAGAGGTGCTCGTTAAGCGAGGTTCTACTGTGTGTGTGTGTGTGTGTATATATATATATGTGTGTGTGTGTGTGTGTGTGTGTGTGTGTATGTATATATATATATATATATATATATATATATATATATATATATATATATATATATACACACATACATACACATACATACTGTCAGAGGTCGTCTCGGCTATGGGACGGGAGAGTATGATGATGACAATTCCACAAGCTTGTTGTTTGATGACACATAAATGTGTAAACTGGACTTCAGCAGCTCAGACTTCACGAAATACAAGTCAGCACTGAACTCCAAAGTCAAACAAAATGTCTGCGCGGAGGCAGATCAGGAGATTCAGCTGGAAATCTGTGCGACAAGGACTTCGTTAGACTAGACCAGGGCTATTCAACTAAGTTAACCCGCGGACCAAAATGTTGAAAATGGGGATCGTCGCGGGCCAGTGGCCTGAGCCAAGTGTGGGAAGATTATTAACACTACAATCGAGAAAACTGTCGATGAGACTCACAGACAGCTGAAACCATGATCATTTAACCTCCATAACCCGTTCTGGCAGACACCAGCCACTAAAAATGTGATAACTGCCGGTCCGTGGATAAAGTTAATAACTTATTAGCATAGGTCAATAAAAAGTGAGGCAAGCTTACATTCAATTCCTCTGCTTTTCAGATCGTTGCCATGGGCCATGTGATACAAGTGTGAGTTGTTGAGGAGAGACTTGGAGGGAATACATCCCACATTGAGGCAGGTGCCCCCTAGTGTTGCTTCCTTCTCTACACATGTCGTCTGAAAATGTGTGCATTTATAAATGATGAGTAAGTATTCTTTGAATTCTGTATGTAGGTAGAATATATGTATAGCAACAGGCATGTCAAAAGATTAAAACACTATAATACAAGTTTTAGAATGTTACATACTGTTTACACAACTGTATTCAATGTAGCCATGACCAGTGAATAGTGAGGTAAGAGATAAACAAACACCACAGAGGTGAGCTATCTTTGTAGAATATTAACAATACCATGGACGACTTAAATGACCAATATATATGTGCTGCCAGTAGGAGCTTCATAAAGACATGGTTACCCGCACCAGGACATGATAACCTGCACCAGGACATAGTTACCCACACCAGAACATGGTTACCCGCACCAGGACATGGTTACCCACACCAGGACATGGTTACCCACACCAGGACATGGTTACCCACACCAGGACATGGTTACCAACACCAGGACATGACCACCATAATTTTCTGGCCCCATGTTGAACTGTGATAGTCTTGAGTGGCGACAAGGATGAATGTGCTGGGTGAGAACTAAAGAATGAGTTGGCAGGAGTGGCATGGAAAATGACAGCGGTCAACATGCCCAAAACTTGATGGATACATCTATAGGGGATTAGTTTGATTTGCTTCGGATTGCTCATTACAGTGTATCGCTGGCTGATATACTAAATGCTCTATGAGATTTAAGACGTTTACCTGAGCCAACTGATAACTTTGAATCTGCAACCATGGTCAGACTGCAAGAACAGCAAGTTAAACGGGGTGTCGCCAAACAAGAACACTATACGGGTAGCCAAATAAGAGTAATAAACCAACATAGAACTAGTGTCATCAGCCGCTAAACGCTGCGGGGTTTACTGAGGAGGGGATCCAAGCACTTATGGACTGACGTGCAATGAGGATAATCTGTCGACTAACCAAACTGTAAGGGATTTTATTTTATATTAAAAAATATTCCGCAATGGCTCTTACAGCACTGCGGTTTATTTTACCTGTGTAGTCATGCTGACACAGTATCCACTTATCTCATTTGTTTTCTGGTCTCACTGCTGCCATATTCTGTCTGATTATGCTGTTAAATGCTCACTGGCTATGACAATGTTTCCATTGTGTATTGTGTGTATATGTGTAATCCCACCTGGTCAGTTGATAGTTTAATAGAGACACAGTGAAATGGCTGACACACTGTCTGTGTCACAGTGTTTACCTTGAGTCCTAACTGTGCTGCCTTGATTGCTGCCACATATCCTCCAGGCCCAGAACCAATCACAATCAAGTCTGTGTCACCTGGAGAATACAGAAGTTACTAGACTGACTTTGAGAACTGAGAGTTGTGGGCAGACACAGAGTGACAGAAATAATAGGGACAGTGTGAGGTGGAGGAGAAGACAGAGACAGAGTGACAGAAATAATAGGGACAGTGTGAGGTGGAGGAGAAGACAGGGACATAGTGACAGAAATAATAGGGACAGTGTGAGGTGGAGGAGAAGACAGATACAGAGTGACAGAAATAATGGGGACAGTGTGAGGTGGAGGAGAAGACAGGGACATAGTGACAGAAATAATAGGGACAGTGTGAGGTGGAGAAGACAGGGACAGAGTGACAGAAATAATGGGGACAGTGTGGGGTGGAGGAGAAGACAGGGACATAGTGACAGAAATGTGGCGCGGTGATTTATGTCACAGGCGTGAGGGGAAGTTAAGTCCAACATGATGTGTATAAGGAGATACTCCATACGTCACTCGATCGCCAGTCCTTAACTATCCTGGTTGTACGGAACCTCACGCAAGACCCCTACAGCACGTCCTCGTCGTGCGCCACGGATAATGTCTCAAATGAGCATTAACAGAGCTGTCAGGGAATCTCGGAGTTCAGCGGCCCCCAGAGGTGATGTGTCCTTGTGGCTCTCATCAGCCCGCCCCCAAACGCTTGGGTGAAAAATGTTATCAAAACTCATTAGGAACATGAGTAGGTTTGCCAAACGTACAGCCAAAATTACAACCCTTGGTTAAAAGACTGCGGAGTAAAGAGAACATTGTTCACTGCACATCCTCTGTTAACCCTCAGTGTCGTCGTCACCGCGCTGAGGTACACCACAACAGCAACCATCCATAGGCTGGCCATTCATGTACATCCTCGGTTAACCCTCAGTGTCGTCGACACCGCGCTGAGGTACACCACAACAGCAACCATCCTAATTGTCCGACAAAACTAGATCATACGGATCAAAATCTGACCATCAAAATTTGTATAGAACTGAAAAAGACCGAATGTCCACACACAAAGACCCCACTCGCCCGAGTGTTGGGACAAAACTGATAACAATATGCCCGATGCAGGATGTAAAATTCTGTCGGGCTAACGGCTCGTCAAAGAAATCTAACGTGCGAAGAAAAAAAGAATGTACCTATCTGTGTGGTCACAAAAGTCCAAAACCCACGGGCTGCTCCCCGCTGACTTCCAGAGGGCGCAGCCCCTGTCGAGCGGGAGGCCTGATACGGTTGTGAGGTTAAGCAGGCATGTGCAGGACGTGACGATTCCTTGGGTGAGCCCAGAACCAGAGCGCCATGTGCCGGCTCTGCATGCATGGAAGCCTCCTTGGATGGCGGGGAATGCCCATGATCTGCCCCTGCCTTCCCTTGAGGGCTAACTGTTCCACAGGGGGCTGCCCAAAGGGGTACTCCGAGGGCAATACCTGCGGAGGAGACAAAGTGGACACCACACAAATCAGGCAACGTCTCGACCCACACAAAACAATGGCCACAGTCAACCTAGAAATAGGCCTGACGTCTTCCTTCGAAGTCGGAGTACAGCTGCCCATGAGGCAGGGAAATGAAAAACGGTTGTACACGCAAAAATCAGGTCCAGGTGAAAGCCAAAAGTCCAAGTGGACGACTAACCTGACCTTCCACTGTAATTCACAGCCGGTGATCGATTAAAAATTAAAAAAAAATAAAAAAGTGACAGAAATAATGGGGATAGTGTTAGGTGGAGGAGAAGACAGGGACATAGTGACAGAAATAATGGGGACAGTGTGAGGTGGAGGAGAAGACAGGGACATAGTGACAGAAATAATGGGGACAGTGTGAGGTGGGAGAGAAGACAGGGACATAGTGACAGAAATAATGGGGACAGTGTGGGGTGAAGGAGAAGACATGGACATAGTGACAGAAATAATGGGGACAGTGTTAGGTGGAGGAGAAGACAGGGACATAGTGACAGAAATAGTGGGGACAGTGTGAGGTGGAGGAGAAGACAGGGACATAGTGACAGAAATAATGGGGACAGTGTGAGGTGGAGGAGAAGACAGGGACATAGTGACAGAAATAATGGGGACAGTGTGAGGTGGAGGCGAAGACAGGGACATAGTGACAGAAACAATGGGGACAGTGTGAGGTGGAGGAGAAGAAAGGGACATAGTGACAGAAATAATGGGGACAGTGTGAGGTGGAGAAGACAGGGACATAGTGACAGAAATAATGGGGACAGTGTGAGGCGGAGGAGAAGACAGGGACATAGTGACAGAAATAATGGGGACAGTGTGAGGTGGAGGAGAAGACAGGGACATAGTGACAGAAATAATGACAGTGTGAGGTGGAGGAGAAGACAGGGACATAGTGACAGAAATAATGGGGACAGTGTGAGGTGGAGGAGAAGACAGGGATATAGTGACAGAAATAATAGGGACAGTGTGAGGTGGAGGAGGACAGGGACATAGTGACAGAAATAATGGGGACAGTGTTAGGTGGAGGAGAAGACAGGGACATAGTGACAGAAATAATGGGGACAGTGTGAGGCGGAGGAGAAGACAGGGACATAGTGACAGAAATAATGGGGACAGTGTGAGGTGGGAGAGAAGACAGGGACATAGTGACAGAAATAATGGGGACAGTGTGGGGTGGAGGAGAGGACATGGACATAGTGACAGAAATAATGGAGACAGTGTGAGGTGGAGGAGAAGACATGGACATAGTGACAGAAATAATGGAGACAATGTGAGGTGGAGGAGAAGACAGGGACATAGTGACAGAAATAGTGGGGACAGTGTGAGGTGGAGGAGAAGACAGGGACATGGTGACAGAAATAATGGGGACAGTGTGAGGTGGAGGAGAAGACAGGGACATAGTGACAGAAATAATGGGGACAGTGTGAGGTGGAGGCGAAGACAGGGACATAGTGACAGAAACAATGGGGACAGTGTGAGGTGGAGGAGAAGAAAGGGACATAGTGACAGAAATAATGGGGACAGTGTGAGGTGGAGAAGACAGGGACATAGTGACAGAAATAATGGGGACAGTGTGAAGCGGAGGAGAAGACAGGGACACAGTGACAGAAATAATGGGGACAGTGTGAGGTGGAGGAGAAGACAGGGACATAGTGACAGAAATAATGGGGACAGTGTGAGGTGGAGGAGAAGACAGGGACATAGTGACATAAATAATGGGGACAGTGTGAGGTGGAGGAGAAGACAGGGACAGAGTGACAGAAATAATGGGGATCACCTCAGGTGGAGAAGAAGACAGGGACATAATGACAGAAATAATGGGGACAGTGAGGCGGAGGAGAAGACAGGGACATAGTGACAGAAATAATGGGGACAGTGTGAGGCGGAGGAGAAGACAGGGATTTAGTGACAGAAATAATGGGGACAGTGTTAGGTGGAGAAGACAGGGACATAGTGACAGAAATAATGGGGACAGTGTGAGGGGGAGGAGAAGACAGGGACATAGTGACATAAATAATGGGGACAGTGTGAGTCTGAGGAGAAGATAGGGACATAGTGACAGAAATAATGGGGTAAAAACAAAATTCTTATTTGAAAAAAAAGGATAAAATAAATATTATTACCAAAGGGTACAAATTGGGCAACAGTTCCATGCTAGAAAATGCCCTCCCCCCTCCCTTTTCAAATACTCATCTTTTACACTGCAGAGAAGAGAGAGAAGAATGACATGGCTTTAAATCTTCTTCCCCTGACACATACCAACAAAAGCCAAACCCCAGTAGTTTAACTGTGTAGGCTAACCAGTACGCCAATATCAATGCTTTAATGTTCTAAATGGTTTCAGAAGTCTTTTTTCCTGACATATAACCACTATAGATATGGGACTCAACAACCTCGTACAATGGCTACCAGTGATACCCAATAAGTGCACAATACTTACTCCCACTGGCATAATTCCTCGATGACACATACAGAGAAGCTAAAGACTTGCTTGTCAGGGGACCATTTGCCTGGAAGGGAGATAAACATGTTTGTACATAAATGCTGTAGAATATAAAACAAACATCTAATTCTTTGGTAACTTGACAATGCTTGAAACTGCTACCTTTCTTACACATTACATTCATGGCATGTTAGAAAAAACAAGAGATTAGAGAAATAAAATATAAGATTAGCACTTTGGGAATACAGGAAGCAAGATAAACGACACTTTGTACAAGTAAAATTGTTGTTCTCTGGCCATACAGATGGCAATGCTGTCACTGTACAGGAGCAGTTTTAATATGTCTAGGGAGACAGAGAGAAAGAGCACTAACAGATTGGGAAGTCTAGAGTTCTATGACATCAGTTTAACCACCCCCTCCTCCAATTTGAAATTTTTTAAATCTGAATATGATCCAGTGTTAAACATCAATTAATGTTCTAAATAAATCAGTTTTGGAGGTACTGAAATTTGATTATTCCACTCAAACATTACACATGAATATTATTGTGTAGAGCACAAACCAAAAACACAATAAAGAGCAAAGATCACTAATATAATAAGTAAGCCGCATTCTAAACTGGTGCTTGTTGAACAAGAAAGAAGAAAACAGTATGGCAGAATCATTAATGTTAACATGAGGGAGAAAAATAGAAAACATAAATTATGACAAACAGGGACATGAAGAGAAGATGCTGCACCAGACACACACTTAAAAAAAAAAAAAAAACCAGTAACCAGGATCATGGAACTAGAAAGTCCTTGGACAGGAAGCGACAGGGCTAAATAAATCACAGAAGACCTAACAAAACATGGACAAGATCATCAGAGATAAATGCATAAGATGAAAATGTCTTGGAGTTAACCATCAGGCAAAAGACAGGAGGCTCTGCACTGAGATGGTTAGGGACGAAGACGAATTCTGCTGGGTGTATGTAAAGACTAGTTGACCTGGTGAGTCAGCATTTTTCTGTTTTTCATACAAGTAACATCTCTATTTAGAACTCACGCAGAGATTGTAATCATTTACAATTTTGTCAGCTTTATACAAAATACATGGTAACTGAAAGCTGGCAACAAGTGATGATGCATCTCAATTTACGATAAATTATTGTAGCCAGAGATTTACTGAAACCGGCTGCTGCTAAAAAAAATGAAAAGGTCATATTTGACACCTTCTGTTGAGGCAATACTACACATAAAATATCACTAGCGGGACGTGGCTGGTATAAGAATGCACAATAATATGAAGAAAGTTGCACAATTCTGGACGAGTACCCGAAATTTGCTGGAAAGCTTGAAGGCAGTAGAGACCAACATGACTTTCTGTGTCAGTGACATTGGTCCAGAACTGAGCCGCTCTCTGCAAGTGAAGTTTTAGTTCGCTTTCCAGTCGCACTTCCGGGTGGGCGGACCTCCGCTCTAGCACAGTCCGACTGAGAGCTCAAGAGGCAAAAAAGTCTGGGACCGTCCTTTCACTGTCTCTTTTCTCAAGATGTTTAACCGACGGAGAAAGAGAAAAGACGATAAAGTATGTATTTAAATAAACCGGCTCTCATTTGGGATCTTTTCAAACACAGAACTTTGTTGGAACGACTTTACCATTGTACAGAAAGGGATACGCGAACTATAGCAGAAGACACAAAATCTGTATAAACTAAGCGCTAATGAACTCCGATGTGTAGCGCGGATAATCTGTCGATTAACTAACTTAACTAACTAGATATCACTATGCATGCCAGATAAATAATTACTGAACGTTATTTAAATATTAACTATAATGCAGGAAATATGAACTCCAAAGTATTCCCCTTAAGTTGACTCTATGATCCGCTGCCCATGACGATACAAAACATGCTTAGGGTAAATGGTTCTAGAGATCTAAAGTAAACAGTAGACCACAAGAAAAAGGGTAAGCAAATGAGATGTTAATATATCGAAAGAGAATAATGCTCTCCCAGATCAAGAGATGGACTAACGGCAGTCTATAGTTTATAGTTTAAACAACAGATCCCCATCATGGCACAAGGGTAGTAACCCATAAGTGCTCTATTCTACTTCTAACTCAAGCCTGAGTTCTGAGCACAAACTCTGTAGCACCGGCGAGGATCCTGAAATAATGTGTGTAGAATTTCAACTCCAAATAGCGAGCACCGTTAAGCTACTCTTTTCGATTTCCAGCTGCCAAGGGATTTTTTTAACATGTGCAACACTACACATGGGCATCCGATCTTACTACCCAGAGACCAGTGGCAATTACTAGAAGTCCACGTGAAAAATCTCAGCCTTCACCAGGGCCTGAACCCGGGCCTTCCAGCGCTCGAGATGGACGCCATGCCTCTAGACCAAACAATGAATTCCAGAGAAATTTGACTAAAAAGCTCAACAAAATTCGAAAGAGGAAAACGTGCACAATACAACACAACGTAACGTTTCGGCCGGGCAGCCTTTTTCAAATACAAGTGAAATACACCAAGACCAAACACATTGCAGTCAGTCTTCATTGTGGAGATGACACTTGATTGATGTTAGCTTACATGTGTAGACATCATTAGTGAAACTCAAATGGTTAATAATTTTGTAGGAAATAAATAAATAGTAGAACATGATAGGTGTAAGTACAGCTGTGATTAAAGTTCTGGTTTAAAATGCTACAAAAATGGTGTTCTTATTTATACCTTCAGGAAAATAAAAAGATTAAAAAACAGTGTCCACATAGAGATTTGGCCGTAGATTAACCCCAGCCATAACAGAACGAGGGTTGGCAGGTGGTGACATATTGGCTAACACACTTGCCTGCCATTATTGGCGTGTGTAAGTAAACATTATCCGTGCCTGCCATTAAATACTATTATCCGTGTGTGTAAAGTAAAAAAGGACCATTATCCGTGACTTCAGGCGTATTGGCATATAGTAAAAGTAAAGTAAAGGACCATTATCCGTGACTTCAAGTATTGGCCAGTAAAAGTAAAGTAAAGGACTATTATCCGTGACTTCAGGCGTATTGGCATATAGTAAAAGTAAAGTAAAGGACCATTATCCGTGACTTCAGGCGTATTGGCATATAGTAAAAGTAAAGTAAAGGACCATTATCCGTGACTTCAGGCGTATTGGCATATAGTAAAAGTAAAGTAAAGGACCATTATCCGTGACTTCAGACGTATTGGCATATAGTAAAAGTAAAGTAAAGGACCTCCCTTTCCATGATTTCAGGTGTGCTGGGCATACAGGCCTAAACCTCAGACGTATTTTTTTATAGACCAGTAAAGTAAAGGACCATTATCCGTGACTTCAGACACTTGGTAGTAAAAGGTGATTGTGGTGGACATCACACTGGCTGCCTTCACTTCCCACCACTTCACCTGGTACCAGTTTACAGCTAGGGTTGACCTGGGAAAATGTCCAGCTCCATTGTACATTAGTGGTTTTTGTGCTGGGGTTTCAGGGCTTCCTGTGTCCTTCCTGTATGCAAAGTTTTGCATCAGCAGAAGAGGTTCAGCTGCACTATGATGAACACCACAATGACCAGAGTGGACAGGTGGCAGAGGATGAAGGGGTGAGTGTTGTCTTGTTGAATAGGTTGTTGTAACTTACCAGATAACATATTGTGGGGACAACACTTTGTGGCTGGTCAGTAAGGACACTGTCTAAATTGAGAAGTTGCATATTCACAGCTCTGCAAAAACAGCAGTTGCTGTCTGTTGTAAATCTAGTCTGCGTGGTCTAAATTCTTCCCCATGAAATAGAATAATGTAAGTAAATCCCTGTGATGCATGCCTGTCATGTTTGTTGAATAACTTTGATGCATACCAGTGATATAGATGAATCACTCTAATGGATACATGTAATATAGAGGAATCACTGTGATGGATACCTGTGAGAAGGGGAAACCAATGTAATAGATACCTGTGAAATAGAAGAATCACTCTAATGGATGCCTGTGATATAGGGGAATCACTTTGATGTCAACCTGTGGTAAAGGGTAATCACTTTAATGAACAACCGTTATGCAGGGGAATCACTCTAATGGATACCTGTGATATAGGGGAATCACTCTTATAGATACCTGTGATAAAGGGAAATCACTCCTATAGATGTGGCGCGGTGATTTATGTCACAGGCGTGAGGGGAAGTTAAGTCCAACATGATGTGTATAAGGAGATACTCCGTACGTCACTCGGGCGCCAGTCCTTTACTATCCTGGTTGTACGGAACCTCACGCAAGACCCCTACAGCACGTCCTCGTCGTGCGCCACGGATAATGTCTCAAATGAGCATTAACAGAGCTGTCAGGGGATCTCGGAGTTCGGCAGCCCCCAGAGGTGATGTGTCCTTGTGGCTCTCATCAGCCCGCCCCCAAACGCTTGGGTGAAAAATGTTATCAAAACTCATTAGGAACATGAGTAGGTTTGCCAAACGTACAGCCAAAATTACAACCCTTGGTTAAAAGACTGCGGAGTAAAGAGAACATTGTTCACTGCACATCCTCTGTTAACCCTCAGTGTCGTCGTCACCGCGCTGAGGTACACCACAACAGCAACCATCCATAGGCTGGCCATCCTTGTACATCCTCGGTTAACCCTCAGTGTCGTCGTCACCGCGCTGAGGTACATCACAACAGCAACCATCCATCGGATGGCTAATTGTCCGACAAAACTAGATCATACGGATCAAAATCTGAGCATCAAAATTTGTATTGTACTGAAAAAGACCGAATGTCCACACCCAAAGACCCCACTCGCCCGAGTGTTGGGACAAAACTGATAACGATATGCCTGATGCAGGATGTAAAATTCTGTCGGGCTAACGGCTCGTCAAAGAAATCTAACGTGCGAAGAAAAAAGAATGTACCTATCTGTGTGGTCACAAAAGTCCAAAACCCACGGGCTGCTCCCCGATGACTTCCAGAGGGCGCAGCCCCTGTCGAGCGGGAGGCCTGATACGGTTGTGAGGTTAAGCAGGCATGTGCAGGACGTGACGATTCCTTGGGTGAGCCCAGAACCAGAGCGCCATGTGCCGGCTCTGCATGCATGGAAGCCTCCTTGGATGGCGGGGAATGCCCATGATCTGCCCCTGCCTTCCCTTGAGGGCTAACTGTTACACAGGGGGCTGCCTTAAAGGGGTACTCCGAGGGCAATACCTGCGGCGAAGGAGACAAAGTGGACACCACACAAATCAGGCGACGTCTCGACCCACACAAAAAAATGGCCACAGTCAACCTAGAAATAGGCCTGACGTCTTCCTTCGAAGTCGGAGTACAGCTGCCCAGGAGGCAGGGAAATGAAAAACGGTTGTACACGCAAAAATCAGGTCCAGGTGAAAGCCAAAAGTCCAAGTGGACGACTAACCTGACCTTCCACTGGAATTCACAGCCGGTGATCGATAAAAAAAAAAAAAAAAAACTCCTATAGATACCTGTGATATAGGGGAATCACTCTTATAGATACCTGTGATATAGGGGAATCACTCTAATGGATACCTCTGGCATATGTGAATCACTGTAATGGATACCTCTGGCATATGTGAATCACTGTAATGGATACCTGTGATGTAGGAAGATCATGGTAATGGAGACCTGTGATATAGGTGAATCACTCTTATGAATTAAAAAAAAAAATTCAAGTTGCGTATCCTTTACAGGACGTTGCAGAACCAACCACAGCATTTATTGGCTGTTGTAGTTTTTCTAGGCAAATGTTACATTCATTAGTAATTACATCCAAAATATGTGGAATAACTTTGTCACATATCTGTGATGTGGGGGAATCATTCTAATGGATACCTGTGATGTAAAGGAGTCACTAAATGGATACCTATGATATAGGTGAATTCACTCTGATGAAAAATGTCACAAACTTTGAATATCTAGGCTCTATAATAAACAACAATGGAGACTGTTCGACAGAAATTAAAAGAAGGATGGCCATAGCAATGCAAAGATTAAACAGCCTTAAAAGTCTATGGTTAAGCACCAGGAAGGAGATAAAAATTAGAATTTTGAGAGCATACATCTTCCCTGTGGCTACATACGGATGTGAATCGTGGACTATCTCTCAGTCCTTAAGAAAGAGAATAGGAGCTTTTGAGCTGGAATGCTATAGAAAGATTCTCAGAATATCTTGGACAAAGAAGATGAGAAATATTGACATCTTAAAAGATCTGAACATCAAGGAAGATTGGCTAATAAACAGCGTCCTTTCTCGAAAGCTGAAATATTTTGGTCATATCAAGCGCCACGACAGATTGGAAAAAATTATAGCAGAAGGCATGGTACTAGGAAGGCGGGCAGAGACCGACCGACACGAAGATGGGCACAGGAT